GAAAATAATTTTGAATTAAACACATCATAAGTTTATTTAGATCCAATCTAAATACATAAAAATTTAGAAAATTAAAAAGAATCAAAAATTTATATTTTCAAAATAGATAGGGTAACCAACCTCTCAGCAAGATTCCACGTCTCGTTCCTCCCACTGTTAGGTTCGGTGCAAAATGAGGGAGAGGAATCCCGCTTTAAATTGGAGGAGGTGAGTCCTCCCCAATAGGTAAGAAATATAATTTTTCATAATTGATTTATTTTTATTATTTTTAATATCCTTACTAAAATGTCTTAAACAAACATGGAATCTGAAATATTCATTTCCTAAACTCTGACAACAAAATTTGGAAACCAACTAATTAGGTCATGATTAGGGGAAAAATGTCATTAATTACAATGTGTTTTTATTAAAATTAACAAAGGCATCTAGTCAACCAATAATTTCTCATATATAACTATTGCTATCCTAGAATCAAATATATGTCGGTAAAATGAAGCTCACAATAAGATGTGGCATGAAATGCGTTCATATTTCTAGTTAGAAAGAAAACAAACATGCAAGAAATTTGCTTGAGGAATATTAGCAAAAGAAGTTCATGTGACACAGCCGAATGGTCCCAGATAGGTAGTGAAAAAAAAAAAGTGGGTTTATAGGATTAGATGGCTTAACTAGGGCTTAGTCATCTCTACTCACATGGTTTCAAATCTATCAATTTAATAGGTCGATTATCTCATGAAGCCAGGCATTTTGGTAATTGCGTTTATTTTGATAATCTGGGGATCTTCGCCTTCTCCCTTCTCTCCTCCAAGGCAAGAGCAACATCACAGGAGGATGTAGATGCCCAGAATGGAAGAGAAGGGGAGGAGACACAAATGGAAGACTTTGTAGGAAACAGATCAAGGTAGCAATCTCCTAAAATGAAAACCTCTCTTCCTTTCTCATTGCTCCTTTGGATTTTAGCATGATGATCTGCATCATTAAATCAGGCACCTATAATGGCTACTAGATCTTTATGATTATGAAATTAATAAAGCCAGGGAGTCTTCTGAAGCAGCAGATCGAAACAGAGTTCTATGTCTGACTCTAACATGAATGATGATGCAAGCATTGGTATCTTCACTAGGCTTGGAAGCAATGTTTCTATTTATTTCATCCCAAGGGTCACATTCATAATCTTGAAAAATAAAAAATTAATATCCTGTATAAATTTGAACTGCATGAGTCAAGAGGTTGTCAAGAATATTTATCTGAATAGTCAGATGCATCCATCCTTGAGAGAAAGAACAGAGGTAATGATCTTAGCAAAACAAACTGTCTTTCAATAATTGCAAAAACTATGAAGTTTGCAGCTTTGTAGACCTTTCAAAAGTAAACTCCCCGTTTAGAAGTTTGTTTATGCATAAATTGTTTGAAGGAGATGATTCGAAGCACATAATCATGAGAAGATAAAGAGGTTTGTCTGATATGGGAGAACACCTATATATACCAGTAGCAGAGTTGGCCGAAGCTCTTAGGAAGGAGCACCATAACATATCACTGATGAGTAGATTTACAGCTACTTCAGACCCACGCATATCACAGCCATAGACATGTATCTGCTGCCATGGGTCACATCCATTGTAGCAGATACCAGCGATGGCTGGGGAAACTATGCCACCAGCAGGTGGCTGTTCCAGATGTGAAACATGAAGCATTGTGGCATCCCATTCCCATCGGCGGCAACAGCGTTGATAGTGTCACTGGCAGCAGAGGGATTGTGTGACTGCGATAAGCTCATGGACCTGCAGCCAACTATACCCAACAACAGATCGTGACTGAATAACACCTCCTGTGGACGATGGAACGGATCGAGCCACTTGTACCGAGTCAGGCGCATGGTCCCTTGAATGGGAGGAGCAGGAAATGAGCAAAAAGGAGGGTGAGAAGCTCTATTTATGTAATAGATACAGCCAAAAGAAGTGTTTACATGGGGAAGAAAGCATAAGTTAGTGGCGCATGAGAAGAATGAGAGAGGTTGGAGATGAATTATGATCAAATTTGGTTGAGACTGAATGTTCGTGCCATGTACACTCGAGCCTTGGCAATCAATTTTGCATCAATGAAGAGTGTCCGAGTAGCTTGTTTATGTTGAAACGTTTCCCAGAATCTTGATTGACCACTGGCTTTATATGGAGCTTTCCTGAATGCATCGGCATCACATATGCATTGCAAGTATTGTTCTTCCCATTGACCGCTCACCGAAACATGCTTATGTCTACCACCGACATATAATCAAGTAAAACCGGGCGATAAAAGCAAAATTCGTGTCCACAAGAAGAGATCAAGCACTAAACCAAATCATGGATCCGCGAACACTGCTGTTTCTAAATCAGTTGCCAATCTAATTTCTTCCTCTAAAGATCATACATAGACTTCCGGATACGACACCATCATCGGTTGAACCAAAACCCCATCCGATCTCATGACAAGCATTCTAACAATCTTACTCCGTTTCTTAAATCTCCAACACCAATCAAGAAACCAAAATCAAGGAACGGGAACACACCTGGAATCTGTTGTCCGGTTCCCAAATACTTCAAGAATCAGCGGAGCAAGGTCGTTACGAGATCAACCGAGGAAGAAAATTCCAAGGGAACAAATACATGCCACAGAAAACTCCCCGGAAACCGAATAGGAAGCGGAAACAAGAAAAGGTAACGCACCTGGAACCGGAAGCTACCCTCAACAGAATTCTCCAAAGAAGTGGTAAAGGGAACGAAGCGAATCCGACATAGCCCCTCTCAACCTACATCAAACTAAACGAGTTCATTTCAAGATTTAAGTGAAGGAGAAATCGAAGAACAAGAAATATAAAAGAAGAAGAAGATGGTTTGGAGACAACCTGAAGCGTTAATAACTGCAAGAATCGGAGACAGAGGGAGGGAGAGAGTTGGGGATGGAAGACGACTGCTGCAGTGATGGTGGTGTGTGTGGAATGAAAAGGGAGGAGAGGGGCGGAGAAGGATAGTATTTTTGGAACCTACCCATTTCATTATACCCTGGCTATTTATTTCTATTTACGGCGGGTACCACAAGTGGGTCCAGTTTGCAGGGGGCCGGCAGATTTGTCCGTGACCGTCGAAACGTGGCAGATCCTTCCACTGCCGTCTGATTCGTTGATTCTGTTTTTTCTCCGGGGGAATGGAGGTAATGCGAACGGCGTGTGAGGTTACCTTCGCATAAGGGGTGCGTTTGACCCACGTGGACCAATAGAGAGGGGGCGACGCCCCATTGTCTTACGCTGACGAGAGTTTTTGCACCGCTGCCCCCGCCAGGCTGTCCTCCCTCGCTCTGTGTTTCCCGCCAATGCCGGGGCCCACGAGGGCCACGTGCGACGCCAGCGTTGGCTCCCGCCATAGATATGGGACGCGCGTAGAGCTGTCGCGGGATTGCTGTCGTTCCAAACCATCCACAGATGGAGGACGATAAGACTAAACCATGAGACCGGCAAGCAAGGATATGTAGAAAGAGGGCAGGGAATCCGATATAGAAAGTGTTAAGACTCAGATCTAATCGAGTGGGCTACACGTTGACTGCCATCGGAGCATGTGGTTGGTGGGCCCTTTATTCGGTGTAGGAATCTCGTTCGGTGATTGATGAGGGGGGTGGTGAGTTAAGACAAAACCAGTACAGCGTCCAACATAAGAAGGTGGCTTTGTTTAGAGCAGTGTCCAAGTCGAGCAGGATCGCAGTGCATGCAGGTTGCATGTGAGGGGATGGGATGCTCACGTTTGGCGTCGAGATTGGCCTTCTTGGGAATCAATATTGCACCTAACCTTCCGAGGTCGGGCCATCCTCTCATGGCAGAATACTAGGTTGAGGGAAGTGCTGGTCTCCCTGCTTCACGCTTCGCTTTCTCTCGCAGGTGCTTGCATCAGTGCCTCATGATGATCAGTTAAGTCGCCACTTGAGCCACACGTCTAAAGCGAGGTCGGACGTGCGCGGCCTCGTGACTTAAGTCGATTGGGTGACTCGTGCATCGTGCAGCATCTTCGAAAACGAGATGCAAAAAGGAACAAGGCCAAAGCATCAAAAGAAAAAAGGAGTACTTATCAACACTGCCAAGTGTTCTGTATCTTTGGGATGCCATGACACTTGGTGACTTCCTCTGTGTGTTGCCAACAACCATCAGTCAATTCAGCTTAACCTGCATGGGGTAGCAAGTTTGCTTGATCACTCGAAAGAGAAAAGACATGGAGACAAGTGGAGAAATCTGCTGCTCAGAGAAATGTTATTACTCTCTTCTCTAAATTACATATAATTTGGTGGGAGTTGGAAGCATCAGAGAATTCAACGGCTGGGAAATAGAGAACGGATGAAAAAGGTAACTTGAACCTGCTCAGCGGTACAAGGCAATCATCTCCTTTATGTTGCCGCATTCTTCCTTTTCAGCATTCGTCTTTTGACTGGGTGAAGCAGGGTGGTGGTGGTGGTGGTTTATGGAATCAGCAAGACCACCGGCAGAAGGCATCATCAGATACATGCAGGAAACAACTAGCGCAGCTCTAAAAAAGAAATAGATTCACATTTAATCGAACTAACAAGAAAGACACAGTACATAGTGGTGTTCTTTACAAGGAGCTGCAAAGTGCATTGATCGTGTCACAAGAGCATGCAGGTGATTTTGACTCCATTGCTTCCAGAAGGACCATCACAAGGTCAAGATTAAGCAGGACACTAATGTTACTGTCCGACATTTTGTGCATGAGCTCTGTGGATCTGTTCTTGCGAACTACCACCTCGAGTTGGTCTTCCTTGGAAATGTAGTTGTTGATCGTAATACGAGGGTTTCAGGTCTATGTCAGCTCGGAATCCGATGCATGCCCTGTTGCCCTCCTCCTTGGACTCATCATGATTGGTTGAATTCGGCTCCCAGGGTTCGTCCTGAGGTTGCGCCCAAACATTGAAAGGTGCGGTGGTCTCGTGCTTCCTAGTTTTTGATGTTGTCCTGGAGAGAATCGAAGACGAGGGATTGTGTCATGGCATTAACGACGAGAAGAAGTCTGTGCGCTCAAATATGGGAAGCCAAAGCGAGGTAGGTAGGAAGTAGCGACATGTACCTGTTTGCTTGTTGGACTTGCCATTTGCTTTCTTGGCGGAGGACTTGTTCTTGGCATCAGCAGAATTCTGAGACGACGACTTTGCGGTGTTCACAGAGGTAGACACCGCGTCATCTGGGGGAGTTATGCTAAACACGTTCTCATCGCCGCAAAGTGACGCTACTTCGCTCCCCGAATCCGAGCACTTGTCCTTGACGTTGGCACTCGTCTTCTCCCTTTCCACGACCCTGTAGGCATACATTTGAAAGGGGATTTCTGAGACGCGGGGAGTGTCCTTCCTTGCCCAGCTTGCGAATTTCTTGGACAGACTGGTTTCGAGGTCGAAGTAATCCACCGGTGGCATCGGTGCATCAGGCTGGCTGTGATCTGGGTTCATGACTAGGAACCTTTTGATGTACCGAAGCACTCTGCAGATGGAAGAGAAGCTGGGTCGCTGAGAGGGATCGGCGTGCCAACATCTCTTTGTGAGGTTGGTGAGGAACTTGGGAGAGTGAAACGGGAACAGCGGCCTTGCACCGGCTCTTATGTTCTTGCTCATCTTATCCCCTTGGAGATGATCGTCCTCGAAGGGGATTTTCCCCGTCAACAGCTCGAAGCATAACATCGAAAAGCTGTAGACGTCTGCCTTCTCCGTGCACTTCGATGCGCTACCGCTCTCCCCCGACGTCTCCTGCTCCAGGAGCACTTCCGGGGCATACCAGATGCATGGGTTGGTGGCAGGTGCTTGGTTTGCCGAAGGTTTGGAGTTCTTCACCGACGACAGACCAAAGCCGGTCACTTTTACGTGCAGATACCCATCCGGCGAAGAGTTTCTTGTCTTGACCAATATGTTCGAAGGATTCAAGTCGCCGTGGTATATGTTCTTACCGTGAAGATACTCCATTCCCCTCGCGATTTGGTGCATCGTGTCCACCGCCACCAGCAGAGGGAAGGGGACCTTTCTCCTCGTGGAAGAGATCTCGTTGATGTAGCTGCAGAGATCCTTGCTCATCAACTCCATCACCATGTAGCTCTCTTTCTTCTCTTCGTCGACAAACGAGTACATGTAGCGCACGACGTTCGGGTGCGTGATGGACGAGAGGAGAGATATCTCACTCATCAGTGGCTCAATCTCACCGATGACATGCTTCACGGAGAAGCTCTCGCCCAACCACTGCACTTCCTTGTAGTTGTTTCCAGACCCAAATCTTCTTCTGACCTGGTAGTCGCTGGATCCGGTGAGAAGCGAGCAGGGGAAGAGTTTCCCGTTGGGAGACACCAGGAGCTCAGCGAGCCGGTTCTCTTGCTTCGTCAGGGGCTTCGATCCAGGGCTTCGCTTCTCGGCTATCCTCTCCGATAGGATCCATCGATCTTCCTTCCATGCCGTGTCCATCCTGCTGCACAGTTCTTGCGAGACCAAGTACGTCTTTCCCAGCTTGAGCTGAAACAGCTTGGGCTCCAACCAGTCCTTCTCGTACTTCTTGGAGAAGACAAATTTCTTCCTGTATATCTCTTCTTGGTCGGTTCCCGTGATCTCCCCGACGTTCTCGATCGCCTCTACCACGACGGGGATGCACCATAGCAGGTCGTGGATGTGGAACTCGACGCAGTCGGCGTTCTGGCCGAGGGCTACGGCTTTCCCCCACCAGTCCCTGGCCTCCAAGCACTGTTTGATGTATTGCTCCCCCTCTCGGAATATCCGGTGGAGCTCCTTGAGAGGCGGCTCGAGGGCTTTCCACTTGATGAGCTTCTCGTCGAACCTTAGATGGCTTCTCATCTCCTCCGCTATGCCGTGATAGGCGAGGTTGAAGGCATCCACGAGCAAGCAACACTGGCGCTGGTTGACGCGCAGCTCGTCGCGGAACACCATCAGAGCCTTGATGCTTCCTAGAGCTTCACCGATCTGCCGGAATTGCTCCATCACCCTTGCAATCGCTTCCCGACCGCAACTCCGCCGGGGACTCTCCTCGGCTGATCAAAAGAAAACGATTGAAGGTTTTTCTTGTTTATCGAAAATTCCATTCGATGAAATGCCTCCAAACACTACCGAAAACAAGCATCAAAGTCCTGAAGGGAAGCTAAACGAAAGATTCTCTCACAAACCAGGGAATAATCAAGAAAGGCATCAAAGCAGAGCAACTCCCAATTTGATCGGTAGGCCTTCTACCATTTGATGTTACCGATCGTCCTAAACGAATGAAACAGGAACCACAAGAAATGATCGTAGATGGTTAAGTATGCATGATCAGCTTCGAACACCTGCATCTAAATCGAACATGCAAAAGAAAATTCCAGCAAATCCTCTCCCATCGGCGAAAACATATCGATCGACGTAAGGAGCGACGGACATGGATTATGTTACTATTGCCTTACCGGAATGGATGATGCCGTGCAAATTCCGACAGACGATGTCGAATCCTCCGACGAACCCGAGAAGAATGTGCTACGGGTGGCGGAGTAGGCGAAACCTGGAGACACAACCAAAAGAGGGGATGGTGTTTCCGAGGGAGGAGGAAGAAAGGCAGGCATCAAAAGGGCAAAGAAAGAAGGCTAAGGGGATCGATGGGGGAGACGAATAATCGTGTTATTAAGATACGGTCGTGTCTAAACACCTGGCTGCTATGTTTAGGAGACGTCGCAACCCTCACTACATCATAAATTCTATTTTTACATGTAAATATTGAGAACATGACTGTTTATAACTGACGGTGTTTCATCAACAAAAAAATCTAAGCAATGAGAGTTCCATGTAGTGGACTGACACCTCCAATTCAAGCAATCCTTCTATGGTTAATTACGCATATAATAAGCAGAATGCTATCAAGGAAATAAATCGAGCATTAATTCGTTAATTAATTTCGACTCTAGCGATTCATCGAAGGCCGTCAATCAAACGGGATCTATGAATTCTCGGCTGGCCGTTATGGCGCGGAGGCAGGCTGTTATGATTCGCCCTTCAGTTACAGCGCGGAGGCCAGAGTAACCGCCAAGAGTGGAAAAAGCGCGTGCGAGGGACACGTGGCCGGCGTTGAATCGGTCGCACTTCCATGCGCGTGACGGCCTGTCGCACGTCCACCGAACCGCTTTCTTTTTCCCTACAAATATATGATATGATATGGTATTTCGTAATAAACGAAAAAAATGTACTGTAGTAGAATCACAGTGAAAGGAGAGATAAAAAAGGTCAAAGGATATTAAGTTCATCGATGCCATAGTGGTGGTTTAATTAATCGGTCCAACTGTCGACGGCCTGCTTCTATGGACATTTTAATGTGCGACAGCCAATAAGGTTCGCTGGTATGGTTCTTAAAGGGATACGAGTGCTCACGATTAAGCATTCGGCTCCGCAGTCCATTCTGCAATCAAACACATCATTTACTCCATCATTACATATCATAAATCACGCGCGAATCTCAATGTGTTGCAGGTTCCGCCGAGCAGGAAGACGACCAAAACCGCGGCCCTACCGTGACGTGGCACAATGCGGGCTCGACCCAAGCCAGGCTGGGCTTGACCCTGTTCTCACATGCGTGGGGCCCTGCCCAAGGAGCGCCCATCACGGGGACCACAAACAACGGCACGCTGGATTCGTCGCTTCCCTTACCGTTTTCTGGTGTATATATATATATATATATATATATA